GCTCATACTCATATGTAGATAGGCAAAGTCCCTTTATCCCCAGATAAAAACATTAAGAACAGTTTCTGTATGATGTTTATTAGACCTATGTAATCTGAATTGGAAGGGCACGGTGTCATGAGCTGTATCTTGTATATTTATTATTAGCTTTGTGGTATGTGTATGCACCTTTATGTAATCTGGTGGAAAAACATTCACATTTAAAACCGGATCATACCAAACAAATATCTGCTTGCGTGTCCCCGTGTATGCAAAGTGTCCTCCTTTTTGATGTGAAGGAAATGGCCACCCTATAAACATATGTGTTTCAGTTGCTCTGTTACTGTTACTTGAAATATTGCTGTTGAGCTGAGCTATTGTAGCAAAGCTAACTTTAGCTTTGTTTGGCGACTGAAAGTGGCGTAAAAGCGAAGTTCACCCATATTCATTTGGACACGAGGGATTCCCTTCTTAAGGCACTGTAGTGCACTGTATGACCAAAACACCCTTGCCTTTTATATTCTATGTTCGGTTTTCTTCATGCATGTAAACTCTCCAGAAAAGCAGCAACCTTATCACTTTACACTCCTGACCTCTTGTTTTGTGCAGAGAATAAGAAAAGACAGAGTTCTTGGAAAGAGCTAAATGGCTAAAGAAACAACATCAATCTCCTGAAAGTTTTGTTACAGGCCAAAATAAATTTTTTCTGATCATTTGTCTTCATTTTTTTGTTTCTTATTGTTTCTTAAAATTGTTGGTGATTCATTTTCTCTGGCATGAAAAATCGATGAATTGCTTCTGTGCTAGAATATGACTTCAGGACTGTCACCTTGTTCATCCCACTTGAGTTTACCGTCGGGCCATATAGACCAATTGAGGCATTGCCGCGATTGGCCACAGGGTTGTGCAGAGGCATGTGGGCGTGTTTATTTGTGCTTAGGACATAACCGCTGTAAAATAATCACAACATAACATTAATAACCGGCTCTCTCAATACCGGCACTCCCTCTCGCCATTCGTTGTCCATGTAGCTAGAGCACAGCTGTCTCTCTGCCAAACAAGAGGACATACACCAAAGCAAGCATAGACTGCAAGCAAGACAAAGACGTCAAAGCCGTTTACACAAAATAAACCAAGCAAGGACACAACTGGGAACGTATCACAGTTTGTTCCATGAACTCCGTCTGGATAGCGCCTGTTGCAGTTCCGGGTTGGCCACTGCAGCGTATTGTCGGGTTGCATTTCTCTAAAAGTGAATTCTGTTTCAACTTCTGCACCGCAGATCGAAGCATTTTGGTTTTTTTCAGCATCCCCTGCGGCCCCCACTGCCTAAACACACTACCCTACTCAAAATAAATGGAAGGAGTGTTTTTGTTGCAGCGCCTGATTTGGTCTGAATCTGCCCTTAGACTTATGAAAGAAAGACCCAAGTTGTAATAAACCAGACTTATCAATAATAAATGAGAAAGCTTTCTTGTTCTGGAACACCATGAACTCATTGTTACATAATGAGCTCAGATACTGAATGAACTGTGTGAATGCTGACTATCAGTTGTTTAGGGTTGATTCCCTTGAATTGTTTTCAATGAAGTAAGACCTGCATAAGAATCAGAATCAGAATCAGAATTATGTTTATTGTACAAGTGAACACACATGGAAACAGGCGTGCTCGAGTTGAAGCGCCTTTGAACTGACAACTGAAAAAATACTGCCTGTAAACTCCTCTAAAATAAAACTATGGTTCATTCGCTTTTTGGCAATAGAATAAACACCTTTTCATATCTAAACGCTGGCTAGCTCCTCCATGAAGCTGCATATTGTCAGTCAGTCAATCATGTCCAGGCAAACCACTGAGAGAAAGCGGTGTCCTGCTTTTACCCTTCACAGGCACAGCTAGATCATACAGTACTCTTAGTGGGAAGGCTCATCTACATTATAGGGTACTATAATGACAAAAACAAGGCAGTGACTTGGGAGCAGTTCACGGCTCTAGGGTTTCCACTAGTGGCTGCCTACTGTGTTTCAGTTCCCAGGCTTCTCTTTTGTCCTTCTCAGTCAGAGTGCTACCAGGAAACAAGCTCCTTTATGGCACAGGACACCACAGAAAACAATACCAGCCACCAGATACAGTTACAAAACAAGGTGTAAGCCCACCTGAGTAACTCAGCATGCTACTGCATTAGCTCCAGAGCCAAGGAGGAGGCTCACATCAGGCCATGACAGGCTGGATTTGTTTTTGAATGGGCCATTTAGCTGGAATTTTTTGTGGAATTTAAGCGTGTTGATACTGGCACATTCCTTGGCCGTCTGTAGAGTACAGGTTACAAATATAGACAACAGAGAGCAAGTTTGAGTAGTTCAAGTGTTCCACACTTTAAACCTAAAGTGCCCAAGTTCAAAAGGAACCTGTCAATTTGGAGTAACATGCAATCAGAATGAAGCAAACTTCCTCTGATTTGAGGTGTTGAAGTTCAGTGTTGACATTAATATTCAGTCTTTCTTTCTTTAATTGACAGCTTTGCAGTGGAAAACATCAGGTAAGATCCCAGGCTGTGGTACTGCAGGTGCACCTCAGGCATCAAATACACCAGGACTCTCCTGGACCTATTTCAGGATAATACTGGAATTATATTTTTCTTATTTCCAGTAAACCAAATAAAAATACCAAAACCAGCAATTCCTTATAGTCTCTCAATACTTCCCAACATCCCTACCTGAAGCCCATCGGCTCGCTGATTTACTAAAACTGTACTTCTTAGCAAATATTACTAAAAAAGCTATTTTCAGCTCTACATTGATGCAAATAAAGGAGTATTATTAGGAGTGTATACGTTTGGCCACATTTGCCGACTTCTTTCCCCACTCTCTGATGTATCCAACATAATCTGTGTTTACCCGTAGAGGCAAGTAAGGAAATGCATCATTACTTTGGGAAATGTACAGATTTATTTGGGTCTGAACATTGTTGGAAACATTTGGTATAATGTCCATAACTCAACAAAATATATAAGATAGGCCTAGAGTTTATAGACATTTTGATGTGGAAATGTTATGTATTACTTGTTAAATTTTTCCTAACACTAATTAAAAATAAAATAAAACCCAAGCATGTTAGCATTATCACTGAGCACAATACAGTAATATGCAGCCTCACAGAGCCTCTGTAGACTCTTGGTGTGTTGTAAGATAGCAATGGCACAGAGGTTTAAGCTATACCAGGCTTTGGATAAAGATACTTAAATACTTGTTAGGTGCATTTTGGTGGTTTTGGTCTTTTCATCTGTTGACAAGAGACGTATAGATAATTGCCAGACCTATCGATTAACATTCAGCATTGGAGATAAACTGCAATCTCAATGTCAACGGTTCAATTCCGACTGGGGACTTTTCTTGCATGTCATTCGTCTCACTCTTTCCATGTTTCCTGTCAGTACACACTTTCTACTGTCAACAGAAGCAAACTAGCCCTCTGTACAGACTCCATGTGTTTCACACTGCAAAGTAAACTGATGAAGCAGTGATTAACTCGTCTGTTCAACCATTCCTTTTGGTTTATTTTTCAGGCTATTGAACTTGGCTTCTCTTACAAAGAATAAGCCAAACATGCAAGCAGCATCACAAATTGAGACTGGAGCCCCAGGAACTCCCATCTTTACCAAATGATAGCTGTGATTATGGTTGCTCTTTTAAGGATTTTTGTTGGAAGACCTCTAATACTGGAACTGAAGTCCTCATTTGTCTTGCACAATAATTCCCCACCACTCTCATGTCTGGCACTCCATCTGATGCCATTCTGTGGGAAAATCAAGAGAAGATCTGTGAAGGGAGTCATGGACAGTTTTAACAAATCAAAATGTCTGATAAGGAAAAATAAAAGCCAATCAATTTTACTATCCCAAAGGAAATGTGTCCCAAATTAATTTCCAGTAGGACAAGGAAGTTGTCCATGCAGTGATAGTCAAGAGTGTATTATTATAATGCTTTAGATTAATAAATAATAAACATTTAGAAACCTGCCATGGTAATGTGTGACACTTTCCCTCAAACGATTCAAACATGACGGTAAAAGACTAACAGAGGGCTAAGAGGAACTTTAAAATAATACAAATACATTTAATTATTCTTCAAATAAGAAATTGGGTTGAATTTAGTATTGGATGTAGATAAAGTTGGAGGAATTGGTGCAGCAGAAGGTAAGATATTGTGACACTTAGTCCCTAGTATTGGTCAACCTGGATCCTTCATTTCCCATAATGCATTTCCTGTTAGACTTTCCCTTTATGGTAAATTTCACCTTTGTTTAATTGTGAAACTTTTGACTTAAAGGTCAAAGGTCACTGTAACCTCAAGACATTTTTACATTTTAGAACAGTAACCCTGGAAGATACCAACTTAACTTTTAAAGCCTCACATTAGCTTCAGCTTAAACTTGCTTCAACTTGTGGACAGTAAGCAGATATTAATGGTAAATATATTCAGAGCAATAGAGCAATGGCTCAAAGCGACGCACCGTGCAGTGCAATTGTCAATGCTAGTTTCCGACAGGTAGAGTTGACATTTTCATGCTAGTGGAAAATGTATGGTATTACATGTAAACCACGTAGGACTTTTAAGGTGTGTCTGCACCCCAGGTGGGCAGGAAGAAATATCCAGTTCTTTGAATTCAGGAATTATTCAAATGGTTTCCTTTTTATACTTGTTATTATCAAAATCATGGAGACCTCCCTTTCTTCCACTGTGCTAATCACAGAACTTAATGGTTCCAAAGAGGATTCTCATAGTGAAGGCATTCATGATGATGTTTTTATGTATTTATTCCAGTGTTTTGAAGATTCTTATTTTATGAGATGTTCAAATTAGTTTCTCACACTGTCAAGAATTTGTAAATGTCTACCTCCTAAAAACAAAAATTGGGATTTATACTGATGACAACCACAGGTTTTAAATGGAGCAGTGTGGAAGATTTTGAAAACTGAGTGACCCTCCAGAATTTTCTGTTTCCATGTCCTCCTCCCACCCAGCGGAGCTGCAGTGGATGCGGTCTACCGGGAAAGATCCAAGAGCTCCAATGGAAAGAACAGGTGAGCCATCCGTCACTGAGATTCACCGTGGCAATACTTGAAAAGACAATTAGACTGCTTAAACAATGAGGCCTTTGTAACACTGCCTCCGTTTCTTCCTGGCTCTTTTTTTTTTCCGAACACATTTCGGCTCCATGTGAAATAACAGTAGACGTCAGAGCGAAGAAGGTGTTTCCGTGTGGCATTACGGCAGAATGGATGTGGTGGAAAAGAAGGGCAGACAGGTGCTGACAGAAGGCTAAGAGTAACACATGTCTGAGAACATTGAAAGAATTATCACAGTGAGAGAATTCATCACCCAAAGTGACTGGACAAAGTTGAAATCCTCCTCTTCGCCATGTGTGAGTGTAGATCGCCTCTATGGCTTCATGAAAGGCTTCTGCACACATCCAAGAATGAAGACTTTAAAATATAGATTTTAGCTTTTTTATTGGTGATCTCAAAAAGGGAAAAAGGTTATTTGATCTGGAGAAATATCTGAGGAGGAACCTACTCTACAGCTCCGACACTTAGTGGGCACAGCGTTTGTTGTGTAAAGCAGATGAGAACTTCAGAAGGGGAGAATAGCCAGCTGACATTAGTATGTTTGGGAAAATGTTCAGTGCAATCAAGTACAGACCTTTAAGCAGTAATGTGATTACATTACAGAGACTTACGGGCTTTAATCGTGGAAAATGTCAATAGATCCCAGGGGAAAGTACCAGGCGCTCATTTAGCTGGATGGTCTGTTATTGAAGCTTTTGCATGGAGGATGTGCGCTCATGTCTATGTACAAGGAGCTGCCTGGCATCAAGTACCACTAAATACAGTACAGTAGGCCTCTGTGTAAAATCTCAATCACCCACCCCTCCTGTTGTTTCTACAAGCCCTGTGATATAGCTTCCAGTGTGAGGAAACATTGGGAGCTATTGTAGTAGAGAATTTTGTCAACATGCACTTTTGGGCCTCCCTACCAGGCTGTCAGCTCCCCTGAGTTCCCAGCACCCACCGGGGGTTGGATGTTATAATGGCCATGTGGGACAATTTTATATGAAAAACCTCTTTGCCTTCCAGGCCTCGGGGCTGTTAAATCCCCCCTCATGCCCAATCCTACCAGCAGTGCTTTAAGCTCCCTACTGGGGTCAGAGAGTGAGGGTCGGAAGGCTCTGGGGGAAACCACGGTACTGCAGCCCTGTCGTGGAAAACGAAGGGGAGGGGACATACAGCTGTGGATCCAGCTGTATATCATCTCTTTCTTTTTTTTCTTCAAAGTGTTTGCAGAGCAAGGGGCCACGAGTGGGACAAGTTGTAGGGGGCCTAAGGGGGAAGTGAAAGTGGTAATTACCCAGTACCTTTAGGTAATGGCGCCTAATAGTCACTTTATCTGAAGTTTAATTTAAAAAGTGTTGAGTGAGCGTGTCCTGCATGCTGTGAAAGGCTTTTGAAGTGTACATTAGAAATATAATTCCCCTCATTTTGCAGTTAAAAGCTGCAAAGCTGCTAAATATGGAACCATTATGTTACAACTTTCATTAACAGCGTAAGCGCCTTTGGTGATTTTTGTTTGAGTTGAATAATCTGTCTTAAGAGTGATAATGGCTGATTAACACTCTAATCTATGTTTCATGGCTAGGTTTGCCTGAGGATTTACAGCAGCCTTTTTTCTCATTTAGAGCGAGCCCTCTGTAAATTCCATGCTGTGACCTGTGCGCTTGCATTCCCAGCAAGAACAAAGAGCTTTAGGACATTTTATCATTACTGCTGCTTATCTTCCTGCCTTGCAGCCAGGCTTTTGGGAGGTAGTGTTTACACTGGAAAATTGTTTCTGCTTTGAGAACTTAACCTAACAAGTGGGTTTAGGCTAGTGGTCCTCAAGTCATAAAAACAGCACAGTACAGTGAGAAGTTTTTCTGACAGGGCTGCTAATCAAAGCCGCCGGTGAGGTTCACATCAAGGAAAATGCATACGCTTGTCGTCAGTGTTAATGCTGACACACACACACTTACAGAGCTTAAGGTAATCTGACATAAGTGAGGAGAGGATTTGTGCTGTCAGAAAATGGAAATAATATCTTCAAGGTTCAACACAGTAACATACAAGTGAGTCTACTGTGCACTTCATGCATGGATATCTGATGCATGTGTGATAAGTGACATTAAATGATTTGAGCACTTCTTACTGTAAAAAACAAAATTTATACTGCTTGGCATGCAGAAGAATAATACCACTGTCTGTATGATAAATATGGTTAGTTTAGCCTAAGGATTGGAAAACAGGGAAAACAAATCCCCCTCCCAGTTCCTCTAAAGCTAACTAATGAACATGTTAACACCGGTGCAGCAACCTCCAAACTTGAGGAATTTACTGCAACTGGAAATAGTCTGGCACTGTAACATGTACGTTTTTTCATCCATTGGTTTTCATACAGACTACACTAACAATAACCTAGTTGTGGCGGGTGGTTTGTTACACAGAATCATCTGCCTGGAAACTATTCCAAGGAAGGCACTTTAAAAAAATACTCTGATTGAAAATACTGATTGGATGAACCATCTGTCTGTCACAGTCTATCATGAGCGAACTTCAACCAATCAGATCAATGAACTATATAACGCAGTCAAACTCTTACCGAAGCCAGCAAAGAGTGAAAACACATAGTTCTTCAAGGTTTTGGTACCTGGCTAGCTGTTTCTTCCCGTTTCCAGTCTTTATGCTAAGCAAAGCTAACCAGCTGCTGGCTGTAGCTTCATATTTAGCATACACAGATGTGAGAACGGTATCAATCCTCTCATCTAACTCTCAGCAAGAAAGGGAAAAGTGAATTTGTAAATCCCAAAACGTCAAACTTAAAAATTTAAGTTTTTTTTCATTATTGATTTATTTTTATTTTATATTTAATATTATTTAATAGTCTCCTTCATCCACACAAGTAAGTCCTGATACTTGGACTCTTAAACTGCGATTCACTTCAGAGTGATAAACTGTTAACTCCTCTCAACTAAATCTCAGAATCAATGTATTAAATCAACTCAAACTGTATTATAAACAAATTTTAATGTGACAGGTCTGTCAGGTTCAAATCTGGTCAACTTAAATTGTGCTATTATGCTCAGAACCTTTAACAATGAACACAATCATGAACGTAAAATGATAATTTGACTAAATGTCCAACTCATCATCCAAGGCTTTCTGCACTGATTTTACACACGAAGGGGGAACTACTCAACCTGTGAAAACAGCTGTGTAAATGCCTTCTGTGGCTCTGGAACTAACTGTCTGAAGATAAAAAATAACACTCACAATATCAGGGTTATCTCAGACTGGGCTTGAGACTTGATAATGTTCCCAGAATGCCTGTGGTTGAAATGAAGCTGAGATGTGGAAATTGGGTCAGAACAGACATTGAGGGTCTAACGAAAGATAATAATGAATAAATGCTGCATTATGTGTTTTTTCTCTTTTTAATCTGTCTCTTATGAGTCCCCCAATGTAATGAAAGTGTAGTGCTAAATTACTGGAATAACCTAACCCTAACCCTTTAATTTGGAAAACTATGTTGTTTAAAAACAGTTATTTTCTCAGCATAATGTTAATCTGATGGAGGATTGTTATGTTAAGTTGGTATTCCTGCATGTGTCTCAGATGATTTGTATGATCTGATCCAAATTTTAATAATGCAACTCATGATGAAGATGGGGAACTTCTCCGTTTACTCTTTATGCTCTATCACTAAAGTCAGAGGATCCATAGCATAGCAGCCAGTACATTAGCTTTGAATGTGGCTGTTAGCTGTTCAGAAGAAGTTGTCAGTTTGTTATTGGAGACCAGTTGTTACTACTTTATTGATGAGAAAAATCAAACATTGTTGTGCATGAAATTAAATTAGAAACCAACATTCTTATTGGGTACATAAAAAAAAATCGAGTTAGCTGAAAAATTGGGCCATCTCAAAAGAGGAAATACATACTTTTTCTCATTTTAACATCGTCATGCTAACATTTGTGTAAATTTTAAAATGTGTTTTTTCTGGGAGGGTGTTTTCACCTTGCTTTATTCGCCAAGAAATTGAAACAAAATGAGCTTGTACCCTTCCAACCAACAGATTTTTTTGAGTGATTTTATTATTTGAAACCCCAAGTGATTCCTCAATGACGGCAGGGAATAAATTTGCAAACAAATATTACTGAACTCATTTCCCTCTCAATATTTCCTTGTGCAGTGGAAAAGCAACACAAAAAACACATTGTTTCGGGTGCCTGGTTAGCTCAGTGGGTAGAGCTGGCGACCCATGTACCAAGGCTCAGTCCTTGCTGCAGCCCTTTGCTGCGTGTCATCCTCACTCTCTGCCCCCCTTTCCTGTCTATCTTCAGCTGCCACTGTAGTAAAGGCAATAAAAGCCCCAAAAATGTACTTAAAAAAAAAACCTATTGTTTCATGGTCACAAAGTTTGTCTCGACAATCATTTTATTTGGACGGTTGCTATTCCTCTCACCCCTGTTTTCCACCTTGTGATTAATGTCCTTTCATAAAATAATAGACACTTAAAAATGTCATGATGACCCTTTCATCCCAGTAGGCCTGAATCATAATCTGTGGATGATTTGCAGCACATTCATGTGAGGAACGGGGTCCACATTAAGTGTTTGCTTCGGGCTGTCAGTCAGGAAACTTTCTTTGGCAGAAGATCGGAGTTTCCAGAATCTAAGGGACTGAGGCATCAATCATGGCCTCGGTGGGGGAATCGGCTTTCTCCTGTCTGTCATGGAGAATATCTGGGCGAAGTATGCGGCCCACTCCGTTGCAGTTGGTCTGGTGCTGCTGGTGGCGAGCGTCACCCCCACCCCCAATCCACTTGAGCAGCACTTTTCCTGTCAAGGAAACCAGAGTCTAATAGTTCACACACGTCAGTCATTACAGTAGAGAGTGATGAGACCCTGATGAGCCTCTCTGTTTTTCCTTCTCTGTCTCTTTGTGTTTCTTTCTAGCTATTTTTAATCTTTTCACTGCCCTATTGTCCTATG